GGGGGGGGGGGGGGGGGGGGGGGGGGGCGTCCAAGTCCATTCCTTGTCTTTCCTATTCTTAAAAGGTAAAGTCTATTAAAAAAAGAACCATATGTATTCATATATTAAAAATGCGAAAATAGATTCACTTTTTTATATGAAAGTATTTTTATTTTATCACATTTTTACTAAAACTACTTATAATATTTTGAAAAGAATTTATTAAAAACTTTTTTAAAAAATATTAGTTTAATTTGGATACCTGTGTTTTTTTTTGCTTCAGTAAAATCCATGCAATTATTGAGCCGGCCATGTTTAAACGATATATGGCAGGATTTTCAAGAAAATATATGTCCCATATTTTTTTTTCTTGAAATACTTTTCATGAATAAATAAAAGAAACTACAACTGACCCCGCAGGATTATAGCTCTTGAAACCTTCAGAGGAAATACATCTCTAGAAAAACACAAAAGAATGAGCTAGAAAGAAACTACCTAGGAAAAACCATTGCAACCAAGTTGAGAGGTATGTGATGGTGGTAGGAGCGTTCCTTTGAGCTCGAGACAATGGGTCCAGCCTTGCGCGGATGGTGAGCTGGAGCTCAGAGATGATGGTGAATATATATGTGCCATATTTTCATTGGAACATTTAACATTTGAATATCTATTCTGAGTGTTTTCTAAAATCTATTTAAATGTTTCTAGAACCAGAATATCTATTTCGTATAAGATAAGTCATCAAGATGGATCCTACCAAAAATAGTTAAATTTCTATGCAAGTACAAGTAAAGGGAATACAGCTTTTAAAGAAACAGACAATTAAGTCTACCCGTATTCTTCTCTGTGATGTTTAAGATTTGTTTTTTCATTTTTGTTTTTTTTTTCATTTCCTTTTTATGTGTTTAGAATGTTTTCAAAATTTATTCAAAATTTATTCAATATCAATTTCGTTGTTTTCTGGAATTTATTTATAAACAAAATCTAATCTTTATTTGTATGTATAAAGTTTTTATGATTTGGAATGGAGAAATATAAACTAATTGAAGGACAGTTACTTCATTTACCTTCTAATTTTGCAAGATAATCTCTCCACTATGTTGTTAAAACTGAGTTCAAAACAAAATGTCTCCAACAGAGATAACTTTAGATTTACTACATACAAAATGATGCCACTAGAAAGTTCAAAAAAGAGAAACTATGCCATTTGAATTACTACATACAAAACTATGATTCATGTATCATAGACCTGCAAAAATTTGTAGGTTTGTCTTGCAAAGAAGTTCAGTCTGCGTCCTATTTCAAATTTCATCTGACTCTTTCCAACCCATCTTTATTGTACTTTAGTCAACACTAATGTTTTAGAATAATATTTTGGACTTCTTCTTTGAAAACCAATTTTGGGTTTAAGACTCTTTCAAACCAATTCATTCCTCTATATATATAACAGAAACAGGATGTTAAAGAATCAAATAAAGTATCCGTTTCCTCAAAAGCTTTTGATGATGATAAACAACACTACAAAAACTCATAACAACTTTCTTAGTTACTTTGTTCTGTTTCTTTGGGGATTTGTCATAATGGACATTGGTTTAGGACAAAACACAACAAGTGAAGAAATAAAAGTAGGTGTAGTTCTTGATCTCAAAACAAACTTTTCCAAGATCTGCCTCACTTCTATTAACATGTCATTGTCCGATTTCTACCAAACTCATTCTCATTACCGCACAAGACTTGCGCTTCACATCAGAGATTCCATGGAAGATATTGTTGAGGCATCAGTTGCAGGTTCTTTACTTTCTATGTATCTTGCTTCTCTTTTACTATTTTTACGTAAGGGGTAATTCGGTATTGTTATTTTTAGTTTTAGTTTGAATATATATTATGTATGAAGTTATGTAAAGTCCAGACATGATTGGTACTAATATTGTCATTGAATCTAAACAATCATTGTAGATGCCTACTGATGAAAATCCCAACTGTCTTCTGGTTTAGTATGTGCAATGAGTCTTGGCTACTAATTCCATGAACTGAAGGATCTATTTAATTACTATATATTACCAATGTACTAGTTGTGTATGCTGAAGATTAGTCTACTCTAAGAGAAATTTTTTGATAAACAATATCCATGTCTCTTTCTTTTCTAGAAAGTCGTGGTGACCCGTACGTATCGTTTGGTCGAGTACCACTATAAATTAAATTAAAACATTATATTATATTAGAGTTACTTTTGAATAACTCTAGAAGTTGAATAGAATAAAAGAATCATAAAACTAGTAACATGCTTTCTCTTTTGGTTTGCTTGTGGTGTAAGCAGCCTCTGACCTAATCAAGAAGGAGCAAGTGAGAGCTATCATCGGACCAAGAAGCTCTATGCAAGCCGAGTTTATGATTAAACTGGCCAACAAATCTCAAGTACCGACCATCACTTTCTCTGCAACGAGCCATCTTCTTAAATCTATCGACAATCCTTACTTCGTCCGAGCCACTATCGACGACTCATTCCAGGTCGAAGCCATTGCGGCCATTGTCAAATCATTTAGGTGGAGAAGCGTCGTTGCCATTTATGTGGACAACGAGCTAGGTGAAGGAATCATGTATTCCTTGTCAGACGCTTTAGAAGATGTGGAAGTCCAAAGAAGTGTGATCTCTCCAGACGCTAACAATGATCAGATTCAAAAGGAACTTTGTAAGCTCATGACAAAGCAGACAAGGGTATTCGTTATGCTCATGGACTCAAGTCTAGGCTTCCGGGTTTTGAAGAGAGCTAGAGAGATTAGAATGATGGAGGAAGGGTATGTGTGGTTACTCTCAAATGGAATGACACATATGATGAGACACAACGGTCGTAGCTTAGAGACTATGCAAGGCCTGTTAGGTGTGAGGAGTCACGTCCCTCAATCTAAAGAGCTTGAAGATTTCCGTAAGAGATTCAAGAAGGAGAACCCCGTGGGAGATGGTACTGACCTTAACGTTTTCGCATTATGGGCATATGATTCGGTCACTGCATTGGCCATGGCCGTGGAGAAAACCAACACAAAGACGTCTATGAAGACCTTTGGGGACCCTTCCTACGGTCCACATCTTATAGAGGCTCTCTCGGATGTAGAATTTAAGGGTTTGGCAGGAGAGTTCAAACTCATTAACAGGCAGCTCGAGTCATCAAATTTTGAGATCATAAATGTTATTGGAGATGAAGAGAGGATTATTGGATCATGGACACCAAGCACTGGACTTGTGAATCTAAATTCAAATAAAACGACATCATTTTTAGGCAAGAGGTTTGGGCCAGTAATATGGCCAGGGAACTCGACCAGTGTTCCAAAAGGTTGGGAGATTCCAACAAGCGGGAAGAAGTTGAAAGTGGGTGTTCCAGTAAATAAAGGATTCCTCAATTTTGTGGAGATAAAGACAGATCCTATCAGTAACGTAACAACCACAAAGGGTTATGCCATAGACATCTTTGAAGCTGCTCTTAAGAAGTTACCATATCCAGTCAGTCCTGAATACTACGGTTGCGAGTCTAGCTACAACGATTTGGTCCACCAAGTCTATGATGGGGTAAATTCTTTTTTTTTTTTTTTTTTTTGCTTATATAGATTCTAAATGTTTTATTTATATACAAATAGACCTGACTATAACAGTTTAGGTTTTTTCTTTGATGCCTGATTTCCAACACATTATTTTATAAATGGAGCAGAAGTGGGATGCAGTTGTTGGAGATATAACCATCATAGCAAACAGGTCCTCCTTTGTTGATTTCACGTTACCGTACACAGAGTCTGGAGTGTCTATGATTGTGCCGCTGAGGCACAACAAGAACAAGAACGCATGGGTGTTCCTAAAACCTTGGAGCTTAGACCTATGGATCACCACTGGTTGCTTCTTCATCCTCATTGGGTTTGTTGTGTGGCTGTTCGAACACAGAGTCAACACGGACTTCCGTGGACCACCTCACCACCAGATCGGCACTAGTGTCTGCTTCTCCTTCTCCACAATGGTTTTTGCACACCGTAAGTTGTTACACTAATCAAGAATCCAACTATTACATATGTTAAATTCAATTACGATTTTATCATTAAATACAAAATAAATTATATCCCATTCCATCTCAAATCCAGTTTACAAAATCAAGACTGGTTTAAATTTATATCAATATTTTTAACAAGAAACAACATTAATTGTAGTGATATTGAAATTGTGGGTGTGTATATAGGAGAGAAGGTAGTGAGCAATTTAGCAAGGTTTGTGGTGGTGGTGTGGTGCTTTGTGGTACTTGTGCTCACTCAGAGTTATACAGCGAATCTCACCTCTTTTCTGACTGTACAAAGTTTGCAACCAACAGCCACAAATGTGAAAGATCTCATCAATAATGGGGAGTCTGTAGGGTACCATGAAGGCACATTTGTCCACGATTTTCTAAGAGATCTGAACTTTCCTGAATCACAGCTCAAGCCTTTTGCTTCTGCCGAAGAATGCGACGATCTTTTGTCGAAAGGGACATCGAGAGGTGGTATTGCAGCAGCTTTTGATGAAGTTCCATACCTTATGGATATCATCTCTCAATACTGCTCCAAATATGCAATGGTTGAACCTTCCTTCAAGACTGTTGGTTTTAAACCCTCCTTTAAGACTGCTGGTTTTGGCTTTGTAAGTTCGTTAATTATAATTATTTTATTACTTAATTCTATAGATGTGTTTTGTTAACAAAGCAAATAAGAGCATTCTAGACATAAAAAATAATCTAGTAATTTTTAGAAAAAAAATATTCTAGTAATAAAAGCATTTGATGTTATTTTAGTAATCTTCCCTATTTGTCTTGCTCGTTCATGTGTAGGCATTCCCCAAGAATTCGCCTATGACAGGAGATGTCTCAAGGGCTATCTTGAATGTGACTCAAAGTCAAGAAATGTCACTCATAGAGAACAAATGGTTCAACCATCTTAGCCTCGCTAGTGATTGTCCTGTTCCAAATAACGCTGATCTTTCATCTTACCGCCTCAGTCTCTGTAGTTTTTGGGGACTGTTTCTGATAGCAGGCGTTGCTTCATTCTTGGCACTTCTTGTCTTTGTAGCTCTCTTCTTGTACGAACATAGGCACACACTATGTAGTAACTCCGAAGGTTCTATATGGAGAAAGCTAAAGTCTTTGTTCAGAATCTTTGATGAGAAAGACATAAGGTCGCACACTTTCAAGAGCAGTGCGGTTCATAATGTGAGTTCACCTATTACTCCGTGCACTCCGAGTACATCGAATGTGCAGATCAGACCAGTGCAACGAACCATGTCATTAAACAGGGAGTTTGAGCTAAGAAGAGCATGTTTCGCCACGAGTGAAGGAATTTTGAGAACGCAACCGAAACATGATGAACATGGAGAATCTGATATTGAATTTGGAGCTGAAGGTCAGAGAGAAGTTAAACAAACTCCGTAGAAAGTGACGTTGTAAGTTATCAGCTTAAGTTGTTATTAACTTTAGGTATATAAGCTGTATTTATTGCAGTAGATACTAATATAACTCAACAGTGTACACTTGACGCATTCTGAAGCAATTGACTAGTTTGGATTCCCGTTCGGGAACGCGCTAGACTGTTACGGTTGGGCCTAGCGCCTAAAAAAAAATTGGGAATTATATATGATATAATTTTTAGATTATTTGATATGTTATAGAATATGTTATTCTTTAATTTTGTATAACATTAATACATTTTCATATTTAGAACCGTATAAAACACACAAATAGAGTATCGAGTATATAAATTTAATATGGTATAGTTGTCATCAAAATTATGAATATAAGTATAGAGTGTCTTGCAACCGGAGCGGAGAGCTTTCAAATTTGCAACTGTAACCAGATAAATATGAGGAATCTTATATTCAATGTCAAGGTGCATGATATAGAGAAGTTGCAAAAGTGCATGACAGGTAACTAGGTTAGCCATTTTGGTTCCTGCTTTGTTTTCCGGTTGTAATAGTATTGCTTTTGTTCTTTTCGTATGTTTATTTACAGACTTAACGTCAATAAAGAGTTCAGAATTTGGAAGCAAATATTCTTTCTTTCGAAAAGTTATATGAAATATCATGTTTTACTTACAAATACTCGTAGCTCTATAAGATAAGAGATAAGATCACACGGTTGAGGGAAAGGAAGCAGAATAGAGAAAATATATGCATATCAGTTGTAACCAAATCCTTCCGTAGAAATAGTGTTTCGCTGACTCATGTAAACCATTCGACGTCCTCCACTTATCCTTTAATGAATTAAAAACCGGACCAAATGCATTTCGCAAATTGTCAATACTATGAAGACTCAAGACTATTCAATTGTCAAGGCCTTGACCTATACGTAATGTACCTGTAGATTCGCCATGTCCCTACAAAATCAAATGTGCGGTGATCTTTTGAGATTGATGTCTTTTTCAGTGTTTGGAAAAGAAAAATGTTGACAATATTCATATTATTTTTGGATTTGCTTACATCGAACGTCAGTATGTCCTATTGACGAATAACATGTGGTGGTCCTCGGTCCTCCAACGGCCAACATTTTTGGCATAACCAAACACGCGTGGAACCAGGGACGGATCTAAGATCATATGTAGATGGGGGCACGTGACCCCGTTCCATTGGCTTTGCGTCCGCCACTGTGTGGAACAGACAAAAGATCGGTCTAGTACCACAAAGTCTTGAAGTAGTATGGTAACCATTTTTTTTCTTTGATCAAAGTATGGTAACAATTATATTTTTATTTTTCTCAAGGAAAATAACTAAAAGTAGGGAAACTGGCGATAAGGTTTTTTTTTTTTTTAAAAAAATGTCTTATCATATAATAATAAAATATTACATTTTCAAAAGTTTTAAAATAGTATCTCTATGCTCAAAATATAGCATATAGCCATTCCATGACAGAATTGTCTAAATTTATTTTCTCTTACACAATTCGATTTCACCTTTTTATCAATTCTATACAGTACGTAAATACTCCATCTGGATTTAAAAGTATGATGTTTAAGATTTTGCACATATATTAAGAAGCAAGTAATTAACTTTTTTAGTTATTGTCTTTTTGTTTTATCAATAAAGTTCAACCACTTATAATTTTATCTTCTAATTGAAGGTTAGTTTTAAAGACAAATGTAATAATTATATCTTAAAACATCAATCTTTTGTATACAAGATAAAAATCTAAAACATCTTACATTTAAATACGGAGTGAGTAGTAAACATCTTCTACTTTTTGGCTCCAATCTGCTAGTGACATAAACTGATTGAATGATCATAATCATACCACAAAATATTTTTAATTCAAATATATCATATCTTAAAATAAAAATCGGATAACTAATACTCAAGAAAAAGGATATGAAATATTAAAGAATATACACATGTGTGTTTAGAATGTCTTAAAATTTTATTCAATAAATTTCATTTTTTTCTGGAATTATATACAAAATCTTATCTTTATTTGATATTTTGTATGTATAATGTTCGTCCTTTTGAATTTTTTTTTTTATAAATTGAAATGGAGAAATATAAACTAATTGAAGGACACTGACTTCATTTACCTTCTAGTTTTGCAACTAAGTGTTATTAAAAAAATAATTTGTCCAACAGAGATTAATATTTAACTTTTTGATTCACTACCTACAACATTATGCGACTGGAAAGTTCAAAAATAAAATAAAAACTATGCCATTGGAACTACTACATACAAAACTATGATTCATGTATCATAGACCTGGAAATTTTGTAGCTTTTACGTCGTATTTCAAATTTCATCTGACCCTTTCCAACCCATTTCTATTGTCCTTTAGCAACACTTATGTCATCGTGACAAAAAATTTCAACACTAATGTTTTTGTAATAATAATATTTTAGACTTCTTTTTGAGAACCAATTTCGGGTTCAAGACTCTTTCAAACCAGTTCCTTCCTCTATATATATAACAGGAAAGGGAGTTAAAGAATCACATAGAGTATCCGTGTAAGTCTTTTGATGATGACAAAAAACAGTACAAAAACTCATAACACCTTTCTTAGTTACTTGGTTCTGTTTCTTTGGGGATTTGTGGTGATGGATGTTGGTTTAGGAGAAAACAATACAAGTGAAGAAATAAAAGTGGGTGTAGTTCTTGATCTCAAAACAAACTTTTCAAAGATCTGCCTCACTTCTATTAACATGTCGTTGTCCGATTTCTACCAAACTCATCCTCATTACCGTACAAGACTTGCGCTGCACATCAGAGATTCCATGGAAGATATTGTCGAGGCATCAATTGCAGGTTCTTTACTTTTTCTGTCTCTTGCTTCTCCTTTACTATTTTTACGTAAAGGGTAATTCTTTATTGTTTTTTTTTTTTTGGTCAAACAGGGTAATTCTTTATTGTTATTTTTAGTTTTAGTAGAATGAAGTTAGGTAATGATTGGGTACTATTTTCACTAATTGAATCTACTGAAAATCCCAAGTGTCTTCTTTGTGTAGTATGTGCAATGAGTTTTAGTTACCAATTCCATGGACTGAAGAATCTATTTAATTACCATTACCAATCTACTAGTGATGTATGCTTAGAATCTTGCTGAAGATTAGAGTCTACTCTAAAGACAAATATTTTCATAAACAATATCCAGTCTCTTTCTTTTCTAGAAAGTTGGAGTGACATCGTATTGTCGAGGAAATTCGTACCACTATAAATTAAATTTAACATTATATTATAATATAATTACAGAGCTGTTTAATATATATACTTTTGAATAGAATAGTTATTTGATGTAAAAAATGTACTTTTGAATAACTCCAGATTTGAATAAAATAAAAGAATAATAAAACTAGTAACATTAGACTTTTAAAACTTTATGCATAAAAAGGATTAACCATTCTTTCTTTTTGTTTGCTTGTGGTGTAAGCAGCCTTGGACCTAATCAATAAGGAGCAAGTGAACGCCATCATCGGACCAAGAAGCTCTATGCAAGCCGAGTTTATGATTAAACTGGCCAACAAATTTCAGGTACCAACCATCAGTTTCTCCGCAACAAGCCCTCTTATTAGATCGATCGACAATCCTTACTTCGTCCAAGCCACAATCGAGGACTCACTCCAGGTTGAAGCCATTGCGGCCATTGTCAAATCATTTGAGTGGAGAAGCGTTGTCGCCATTAATGTGTACAATTCCTTGTCAGACGCTTTAAAAGACGTGGAAGTCCACAGAAGTGTCATCTCTCCAGAGGCTAGTGATGATCAGATTCTAAAGGAACTTTATAAACTCATGACAAAGCAGACAAGGGTGTTCGTTATAAACATGGCCTCAAGACTTGGATTCAGGGTTTTGAATAAAGCTAGAGAAATAGGGATGATGGAGGAAGGGTATGTCTGGATACTATCAAATGGAATGACCCAAATGATGAGACATAACGGTCGTAGCTTAGAAACTATGCAGGGCGTGTTAGGTGTGAGGAACCGTATCCCTCGCTCTAAAGAGCTTGACGATTTTCGTTTGAGATGGAAAAGAAAATTCGAGAAGGTGGGGGATGGTACAGAGCCTAATGTTTTTGCATTATGGGCGTATGATTCGGTCACTGCATTGGCCATGGCCGCGGAGAAAGCCAACACAAAAATAGATATGAAGACCATTGGGGACTCCTCCTATGACCAACATCTTCTAGAGGCACTCTCGGATGTAAAATTCAAGGGTTTAGCAGGAGAGTTCAAACTCACTAACAGGCAGCTCGAGTCCTCAACTTTTGAGATCATCAACGTTATTGGAAATGAAGAGAGGATTATTGGGTCATGGACACCAAGAAGTGGACTTGTGAATCTAAAGTCAAACAAAAACACATCAATTTTAGGCAAGAGGGTTGGGCCAATAATATGGCCTGGAAACTCGACCGTTGTTCCAAAAGGTTGGGAGATTCCAACGAGCGGGAAGAAGATTAAAGTGGGGGTTCCAGTAAAGAAAGGATTCCTCAATTTCGTGGAGATAAAGACGGATCCTATCAGTAACGTAACAACCGCAACGGGTTATGCCATAGACATCTTTGAAGCTGCTCTTAAGCAGTTACCATATTCAGTCATTCCTCAATACTACGGTTTCCAGTCTCCAGAGAATAACTACAATCATTTGGTCCAACAACTCTATGAAGGGGTTAGTTCTTTTTCTTTTTTATCCGCATATTTCTACTTTTAAACAAAAAAATAAAATTACTAAACAAATAAACAAAATTCTAATGGTATTTTTCTTTTATGTCTGATTCCCAACATACTATAATAAATGATGCAGAAGTGGGATGCAGTTGTTGGAGATATAACTATCACATCGAACAGGTCACTGTACGTTGATTTCACGTTACCATACTCAGAGTCTGGAGTGTCTATGGTGGTGCCGCTAAGGGAAAACAAGAACAAGAACGCATGGGTGTTCCTCAAACCTTGGAGCTTAGACTTATGGGCCACCACTGGTTGCTTTTTCGTAGTCATTGGTTTTGTTGTGTGGCTGTTCGAACACAGAGTCAACACCGACTTTCGTGGACCGCCTCACCACCAGATCGGCACCAGTTTTTGGTTCTCCTTCTCCACCATGAATTTTGCCCACCGTAAGTTGTTACATGCACTAATCAAGGATCGTACTATGATATATGTTAAAGTTCATTCCCATTCCATCCATCTTAAAACCAGCTAACAGTAAATAAGATTGGTATACATTTTATAACGAATCATGAACCCATTAACATGAAACATTTAATGAAAACCCCTATTTAAAAAATATATATATATATATATATATAATATACTAATATTAATTTTGACAAAAAATAATGTTGTTTTTACGAATATATATTTATATATTTGTTTAGATATTTTATTTATTTATGATTATTTTAGATGTTAATTTTCTATTATAAAATAAGACTATCTAAACATAAAATTTTCGTTTGTAAAAAGTAGTTCGGGTAGTTCTTAAAGATTTTTATTTCAAATATGACTTTGGTTTTATATAATAACTTATATTTCTTTTGTTACAAATATTATTTTTATAAATTATCACTAAATGTATAATTTAAAATAAATTTATTTTCCGATAAATATAAAACACTAAAAATACCATTTATTGGTTACACAGTTTCTGATAATATTAGAAATATGTGAAAACATCTCATAATCTATATTATGAAAAACAAAATCTCTCAAATATCATATATATATATATTTTTTTGTCAACTTCATCATACATATGTATATTGAAACGGAGGGGAGTACATTTTTTTAGCAAGAAATAGCATTGTAGTGATATGGTGAAATTGTGCGTGTGTAATATAGGAGAGAAGGTAGTGAGCAATTTAGCAAGGTTTGTGGTGGTGGTCTGGTGCTTTGTGGTGCTTGTACTCACTCAGAGTTACACAGCGAGTCTCACCTCTTTTCTGACTGTTCAACGTTTACAACCATCAGCCACAAATGTGGAAGATCTCATCAGAAATGGGGAGTCTGTAGGGTACCAACATGGCACTTTCGTCCGTGGTTTTCTAAGAGATCTGAACTTTGCTGAATCACAACTCAAGTCTTTTGGTTCTGCGGAAGAATGCGATGATCTTTTGTCCAAAGGAACATCGAAAGGTGGTATTGCAGCAGCTTTTGACGAAGTGGCCTACCTTAAGGATATCGTTTCTCAAAACTGCTCAAAATATGCAATGGTTGAACCTTCCTTTAAGACTGTTGGTTTTGAACCTTCCTTCAAGACAGCTGGTTTTGGCTTTGTGAGTTCTTTTATTTTATTTTTTATTTTTTTATTTTTTACTTTTAATGTTTTACCAATTGGCAACAAAAACAAAAGTACTTATTTTGATTGCTTTACTTATTTTGTTTCCATGATCAATGTGTAGGCATTTCCCAAGAATTCGCCTATGACAAAAGATGTGTCAATCGCCATCTTGAAAGTGACTCAAGGCAAAGAAATGCGACGCATCGAGAACAAGTGGTTCAAACGTCACCCTAGTGAATGTCCTGATCCAAGTACCGATCTTTCATCTAACCGTCTCAGCCTCAGTAGCTTCTGGGGGCTGTTTCTAATAGCAGGCGTTGCTACATTCTTGGCATTTCTCGTCTTTGTAGCCCGCTTCTTGTACGAACATAGGCACACGCTATGCAATGACTCCGAAGGTTCCATGTGGAGAAAGTTAAAGTCTTTGTTCAGAATCTTTAATGAGAAAGACACAAAGTCGCACACTTTCAAGAATAGTGCCGTTCATAACGTGAGTTCACCTATTAATTCTCAGCGCACTCCGAGTCCTTCGAATGTTCAGATAAGACCATTGCCACGATGCATGTCATTAAACAGGGAGTTAGAGCTAAGAAGAGCATGTTTCTCCATGAGTGAAGAACATTTCAGAACGCAACCAAAACATAATAAACGTGGAGAATCTGATATTGAATCTGGAGCTGAACGACAAAGAGAAGTTAAACAAACTCTATAGCAAGTTACGTTGTAAGTTATCAGCTCAAATTGTTATTTTACTAGATATTAATATAACTCAACGTGTACACTTGACGCATTCAGTTGTTATTTGCTACTGAATTTTGCAATTGACTAGTTTGGATAACAGAACAATTTATGTTAATCATTTAGTTATACAACTTATGTAATTTTTATTTGGTATAAACCTTTTATATGCTTTTTGTTATTATAATGTTCATGTTTTGGAGAGTTAATAGAATGACATAAATGGCACCAAAATTAGTGAAGTACATACGATGTTGGGTCGGAAAAAAATTAGCACTTATAATACTACTGTTTCCTGATTTGTTTCCGGGTTTCAAGTACATTTAGACTCGTCATTTCCATACACAAATTTTATGTGCGGTAATCTTTTAGGACTGATGTCTTTCTCATTGTTTTGGAAAAAAAACAATTGTTGACAAAATTAATATTTTGGTTTGGATTTACGCACATCAATAGTCTTTATGTCTTATCGACGGACATGCCGTAAGAGAATGTGGTCCTCCAATGGCCACCACTGGCCAACACATCGTGTTTGATTAGATACGGCAATACCCTGACGCTTCAAACAAAACGAAATTTGGTTACAATTTCTTTGCAGTAATATGTAGACAATTATATCTTCTTCTTTTTTTTTCTCTTTAGAGAAAAAATAAAACTAGAAAATTTGGTGATAAAGTCTTGGAACATCTGTATTCTATTTACATTTAAAAGTTCACTTATTAATATACTTTTTAGTGAGATAACCATTAACACTATTAATAATGATACTTTATATCACTTGAAATTTAAGACTTTATAAAGTCTTGAGCACTAAAGCTAAACTACAAATCCCTAAATGGTGTATTTTTGTATTCAATCATTTATATGGAGTATCAAGTATCAAGTTCTTAATTAATATCCATTTCTCAAGTAATTTTTTAAAAAGTATGTTTTCAGCAGAATTGTGAATCTGAATTAAACTTGTCAAAGAAATCAGAAGGAAAAATAATTATATTGAGTAAAAACTAAAAAGTTATAATTTTTCATTTTATTTTTGCACGTAAGCTTCGAGACAGAGCTTTTCCATTGATCCTGCTCCGTAACAATAATGGTAAACATTTCAAAATTATACTTGGTCAAACCATTGGAAATCTTCTCAAGTTCTCAAGTATCAACCATCTAAAAGTAAATCTGCAATTGAATATCTATTTTGATCTAATAATTATTTTAAAATATAATTAACTACTTGAATCATGATGAATCTGAAAAAAAACTGTTGAATTTCTCTGCAAACTGAGGGAATAAAATTTATAAGAAACAATCAATTTAGGTTATTTGTTTTATTCTATAAATGTGTCAGAAATGATTACCAAGAAAGATGTTGAAGGTAGGGCTGGGCAATCGGGGTCCCAATCGGGTTTCGGTTCGGGTTCATTCGGGTTTCGGGTTTTCGGGTTCATGAATTTCAGCCCCATTCGGATATTATAAAAATTCGGGTCGGATTCGGTTCGGGTTTTGTCGGGTTCGGTTCGGGTTTAGTAACATGTCCAAGATCCGGTTGAACCCGAAATAGTTTCGGTTTCAGATACAAATCGGGTTATCGGTTCTAAAAATACTAATTTATACTCAATTAAACTTACTATATTTTCAATCGTTTTATTAAATTTATGTATTTAGCTTCTACAAACCATATTGTTCTCTTTCAAAATAATATTGTGAAACTCATCTATCAACCATATAATATTTGTCATTGAACTATATGTGACAACACTAAACATATCATGATTAATGACAAACCAAAGCCTTGTATGAAGGAAATATAATACATAATGAAACATAAAAAGTTAAAGTTAACAACTAACAATTCTATAAATGTAATAAGTACTATTTAAACTTTAAAAAAACAACATTATATAAACTTCAAAACAAATTTATTCGTAACTTAATTTCAAATGTAATGTCAATCATAAACATTAATATTAACCAAATAGCACTATATATTAGACTAAATATCTTAGTTAATTATTTATATCATAACTAATTATTGTAAGTACTCAGTAATATATTAATCTGTTTTGGAAACATATTAGAAATTAAGATTGGATATGATACAAGTTTTTTTAAAATTTTAAAGTTTCGGGTTCTTTCGGATATCCATTTAAGTTCGGGTTCGGTTCGGGTAATACCCATAACCCGAAATACCGTAAAACAAGATCCATTCGGTACTTATGTCGGGTTCGGATCGGTTCGGATTCCTTTTTATCGGGTCGGGTTCGGTTCGGATTTTCGGGTTCGGTTTTTTTTGCCCAAACCTAGTTGAAGGGGCTTATTTAATCATGTATTTGAGATAATTCAAAATTTGATCAAATCCAAAACAAAATCAAGATTTAAATAAATCCTGAAAAGTTTTGCTACAAATTTATATGATTTTTTTTTAATATTTATTTTAAATAATATATTTATTTTTAAATTATTATAGTTTGATATTATTATCGCTTTATGAAATATATAAAAAAAATTAAAATTTATAACTTTGGTGCTGAACTTGGTTCAGTGCTAGTTGATTGCTCCAACAGTTTCTTAGGTGCTGAACTCTTTTCTGCCTCTTTTGTTTGATTTTCTTTCATCCATGTGACAAAGAAACAAGATTACTTGGCTGTACTGGTTCAAGATGGTTAAATTCATCACATGTCTATTTATTTTCAAGAAAACATCACAATGAGAAGAGGACAGTAAACACTTAGATTTCAAGGAGTTTCTAAGAAAGGTTAGTGGCTTCATGGTTTTATTATCAGCCTGATCTTTCTTCTTGTTCAAGTGTTGCTGATCATGTAATGCTTCCTATGGAGACAAAAGAACTAAGTTGATGTTTTTATCTTTGAACATGCTTATATATATTTTTGAAGGCTAGAAGCCCATGCTTCTAATGCTTTCTATCAGGGTCGGGTCTGAATGTTTGTTAAGTGATTTCAAGAATAAGATGTTTGGACTTCTAAGAAAAAAAGCCAGAAATAAATTCCACAGCACGACTAATTCAATTCTTCTACTAAAGCTTTATTAGGAAAAAGCAAAATGTTTTGAAAACAAAATATGCAAATGTTTCTAACAATTTTTATTTAGTGCAGGAAAGGACACAACCAAGAAGACCATTGGAGAGGCTAACTAGCAGACACAGTGAGCAGCCTGGACCATCTAAGGATGATCAAAGAAGTTACCACGGATCTAGAAATCTTGATGATCGGGTCAGTAGAAACCAGCACTATGATGACTGTGAGAAAAGGTTGTTACCAGCACTCAAGGCCGTGGAGGAGAGCCGTAGAAAGAGCACAACCACATTCAAATCCCTAAGAGGTGAAGCAGTGAGCCAAAGATCAAGTTGTTCTAAGGAGAAATGGACTAGTCAAAAACCAAGAACAAAACTGCTTTCATCACTTAGCCAAGAAACAAGAGGTAGTTCCAAAACTTTTAATTTTATTTGTGCTGATGAATGAATCTGTTAAGTGTCATGGCAGGAATCTGATTACCAAGAACGGGTCCATGGAGATTAATAAAAACAATGAAAAAAAGCAAAGAGCAACGTGGGAACTTGTTTCAGACAAGAGTTTTGGTTCAGAGCAATTTGTGCAGTATGATTATTGATGGAGGCAGCTGTGCAAATGTTGCGAGGTCAACAATTGTGAAGAAGCTTGGTTTAGAAACTAAGAAGCATCCACAGCCTTACAAGTTTCAATGGTTGACTGATAATGGCATAATGAAGGTGACCAGACAAGTGTTGGTAACCTTTTCTGTTGGGCACTATGAATATGAAATTTTTTGTGATGTTTTTTCTATGGAAGCCACTCGCATTCTTTTAGGGAAGCCATGGCAGTTTGATCGCCAATTTACTTATAATGGACTCACCAACCGGTTCTCATTCATGTTCAAAGATAAAAACATCAACTTAGTTCTTTTGTCTCCATTGGAAGCATTACATGATCAGCAACACTTGAACAAGAAGAAAGATCAGGCTGATAATAAAACCATGAAGCCACTAGCCAATTTTTGACCCTGATAGGAAGCATTAGAAACATGAGCTTCTAGTCTTCAAAAATATATATAAGTTTTGGCCAATTTTTGACAAAATATTTCTTTAGTCTAGTGGTTTCTTTTAAGCAATCTGAGTTTAGTAACCCCAATTCGAACCAACCACTACTGCAAACATTAAAAGTAACAAGATCTCACAAATGTTTCTCTTCAAAGTGTTTATCTCTCTCTCAAGTGAATATCTCCAAGTTATAGGAGAACTAACAATCAATCTCAATTCAATTCAAATAATAAAATGGTAAATCAAGAGAGGAAGAAAAAAAATAAATAGATTGTAAGATTTTTGGAAACCAAGTTTATCAAATTTGAGATCGGATTTCTCTTCGGTTTGATTGGAGTTCTCTTTAATTTTTTTTCTTTATATAAAATAAGAAATTAACTCGGTTTTTTTTACAACAGATAGAAAGAGAAGAAGTGTTTATGTTCATGGTAGATAAGGTGCTTTGGAAACATGGAATGATGATCTTTTGGTAAACCTAGTTATCTTATATATATGGCTGCGTTCTCAGCATCAGTATTGAATTGCAGAAAATCGCTTGGATATTGGTAATAAGAAGACATCTGATAATTTACAAAAAAAAAAAAAATAAAGACATCTGTTCAAAAAAAAAAGAAGAAGACATCTGTTCAAAATTTTCAAATATTGACATTCTCATTATTATTCTATGGACAGGAGCTAAGCCCATATACCCAAAGCCCAACACGTACAAAATGAGGCCACACCTGCGCTTAAGTAAGTCTTATAAAGCCTCTCTGGAAATCGATCTGGTTAATATCCAAAAAACCAAAAACCGGTTTGCTTAAACCGCTAACGAACAAGTGGATAATGGAAACCAAAGACCGGTTAAAGACAAATCCATTACAACAACAACACCAAAGTACAGAACCGCGTATGTCTGGTCTTCTGCTTATCGAGCTAAACAGATAAACACAAAACATTAAAAACCCAAAACTTTATTCTCCTCTCCCCCTTTGCTATCAGAAACAGATCTTCGATCCTCCATTTTTTCCAAATATTATGCGAAAACCCTTTTCTTCGTAGTGATATTTTCTTAATGACGATGATCTTCTCCAAGCTTGCTCGCTCCTCCATCTCTCGCTCAAGGGTTCGGTTTCAGTTTATTGATTTCTTCTCAGATTCGCTCTGTTCTTTCTCCTCTCCTGATTTTATTTTGTGTATGTGTTTATAGGGTTTTCTCTACGGCGGTGGTGTGAGATCGACGAGGCTGCTTGCTCCTTCAGCAGCTATTGAGGGGGCCGAAGTTGAAACTGGATTAGGGTTTCTGAGGCGACACTTTAACTCTTTAGCTTCTCGAAAGGGACTTGTCAACGGCAATGATTTAATTGGTGCTTTTGCTAATCCGAGACTTCGTAGGTTCTTTTCTGATGAAGCTCCCAAGAAGAAGAGTATGTTATGTTAGCTTTTTGTAACTTGATGGTTTCTTAGTGAATTGAAATTTGTTGTTATTAATGTTTTTTTGTGTGTTTTGTGGATTGCAGATTATGAGAATTACTTCCCTAAAGCTACAAAGGAAAAACCAAAGAGTGACCACAAGTCTGACTCTAAAGGTGACTCTTTTACTTCCATTTCAATCGTTTAGGGTTTCTATTTATTTATTAATCAGTGGATTGTGATTTGCTTTGGAGGTTAGGGAAAAAAATTAAGCTTTCTCTTTGGTGTGATGTTTTTTTTTCCAACTTTTAATAAGCGATCATGGCTTTTCCTTTGTTTGTCATTATCATTTTTTTTTTGGTGGTAGTGTTTTTGGTTTTATATGTTAGTATCAATATTTCTATTTGTGTGAGGAAGCTTTAGAGGTCAGGGAAAGCTTTGAGGTTTGGTTATTTGTTGATGGTTTTATCGGTTTAGCGATTACTTTTCATTCAACTAATAAGATGAGCTTTTGGTTTGCAGATGAAAGTGATTAGGGTGATATACTGAATTTTGTTTGTTGATTGTTGAATTTTAAAATATGTTCTTTGCTGCAATACAGAGGGATCGTCAGACAAGAATGAACAAGAGAGCGTGGGAGATATGTTTATGAACCGTTTCCAAAATTTGCTGATTCCTCTACTGGCTCTTGCTGTGTTCTTTTCTACTTTCTCATTTGGCTCTGGAGACCAGCAACAGGCAAGCTTATTTATTCTAAACAAATCACTTGTGATATGTATCTTTCTCCACTAATATCATCTTATTCTACACCTTTTTGTTTTCAGATTAGTTTCCAGGAGTTCAAGAACAAACTCCTCGAGCCTGGTCTAGTCGACCACATAGACGTCTCAAACAAATCCGTAGCCAAAGTCTACGTTCGAAGCACACCGAGAAACCAAGGAACAACAACTCAAGATAATGTCCAAGGCATCCCAGCTAAGAGAACTGGTGGTCAGTACAAGTACTACTTCAACATCGGTAGTGTAGACTCTTTCGAGGAGAAACTCGAAGAAGCTCAAGAGGCCTTAGGCGTGGACCCTCACGAGTTTGTCCCCGTTACCTACGTCACCGAAATGGCCTGGTTCCAAGAGCTCCTCAGGTTTGCACCGACTTTACTTCTCTTGGGAACTCTTGTCTACGGTGCTAGGCGGATGCAAGGAGGAATAGGCGGATTAGGAGGAACCGGTGGGAAGAATGGCCGTGGCATCTTCAATATAGGCAAAGCCACGATAACAAGAGCTGATAAAAACTCCAAGAACAAGATTTACTTCAAGGACGTCGCTGGATGCGATGAAGCAAAACAGGAGATCATGGAGTTTGTGCATTTCCTCAAAAACCCTAAAAAGTATGAAGACTTGGGTGCCAAGATACCTAAAGGCGCGCTTTTAGTGGGTCCTCCCGGTACAGGCAAAACCCTCTTAGCTAAAGCTACAGCTGGAGAGTCAGGTGTGCCGTTTTTATCGATATCCGGTTCGGATTTCATGGAGATGTTTGTTGGTGTTGGACCTTCTAGGGTTAGAAACTTGTTCCAAGAAGCTAGAGCAGCTGCACCGAGCATAGTCTTTATTGATGAGATCGATGCCATTGGTAGGGCAAGAGGACGTGGAGGTTTAGGTGGTAACGATGAGCGTGAGAGCACTTTGAATCAGTTGCTGGTTGAGATGGATGGGTTTGGTACAACGGCTGGTGTTGTGGTTCTTGCTGGGACTAATAGACCGGATATTTTGGATAAGGCTTTGTTAAGGCCTGGCCGGTTTGATCGTCAGATAACCATTGATAAACCGGATATCAAGGGACGTGATCAGATATTCCAGATTTATTTGAAGAAGATTAAACTTGATCATGAGCCGTCTTATTTCTCTCAGAGGCTTGCTGCTCTTACACCTGGCTTTGCTGGAGCTGATATTGCTAATGTATGTAATGAAGCTGCTCTTATTGCAGCTAGACATGAGGGAGCAACGGTCACGATGGCGCATTTTGACTCTGCGATTGATCGTGTTATTGGTGGTCTTGAGAAGAAGAACAGGGTAAGAAAACAAAAAAAAAAAGATTTCTCTCTTTTTTTTTCAGACAATGCTTTTTGAGATGTGTCTGAATGTTTTTTTTGGTTGTGAAACAGGTGATAAGTAAGTTGGAGCGGAGGACAGTTGCGTATCATGAGTCTGGTCACGCGGTTGCTGGTTGGTTCCTTGAACATGCGGAGCCGTTGCTGAAGGTGACTATTGTGCCACGTGGCACAGCTGCTCTAGGGTTTGCGCAGTACGTTCCGAATGAGAACCTTCTCATGACTAAAGAACAGCTCTTTGACATGACTTGCATGACCCTTGGTGGCCGTGCAGCCGAGCAGGTAAAACTAATTGCTACATTTGGATATAAAATATACTAATATAGTAATCTTTACATTGAGAAATACCAATGTTCAATTAACCATTAGGAGCCTTATAGAGACTATTGTTTAGGTAGGTGACTAGACTGATTTTTAAAAAGATTGGTTTGCAAAAAATTGTTTATTTCATACTCGATTTATCGATTAAGCGTTACCTAAACCGATTTAAAACATTAGAAAATTCCTTAGGATAGCACTAAAACATTTTTTTCTACAAAACAACATAAAGTTACAATTTTAGCATTAATTAAAAATTGAATAGATTTTATATTTTGGTTTGGATTTTACTAATTATGGTTTAGTATATAGAGAATGAGGTTAGGATAAGGGTTCAGGTTGTGGAGTAATTTAACCATTTTACTTTTAAAGAAATGCTATTTTGGAATATTTTTTTTATTTGTGTCCTATTTTTGTCATTTTTGCTATTTAAGGGATTTGCTCTGTTACATTTTCAAGAAGTTTAAAGTTTCTTGTTTATTTAACGCAGGTACTGATAGGAAGAATCTCAACCGGTGCGCAGAACGATCTAGAGAAAGTTACAAAGATGACATACGCGCAAGTAGCTGTGTACGGTTTCAGCGACAAGGTCGGTCTACTCTCTTTCCCTCCAAGGGACGACGGCTACGAATTCAGCAAACCATACAGCAACAAGACCGGTGCCATCATAGACGAGGAAGTTAGAGAATGGGTGGCGAAGGCTTATGAGAAGACCGTGGAGCTCATCGAGGAACACAAGGAGCAAGTTGCTGTGATCGCTGAGCTTTTACTTGAGAAAGAAGTGTTGCATCAGGAGGATCTCTTGAAAGTTTTGGGTGAACGTCCTTTTAAATATGCTGAGGTGACTAACTACGATAGGTTCAAGTCTGGGTTTGAAGAGAGTGAGAAGGAGGAGACGGCGGCGGCTAGGCCTGTGGTGGATGATGGAGCTCCTCCGCCGCTTGAACCGCAGGTGGTTCCGACTTAAGAGAGTTGAGTGACGCCCACACTGTTACGATTGTACATTTAATTCAGAATGCAATAACACAGTTACCACAACAACAAAAAGTGTCTTTGTGATTGAATGAACTTTAAACTTCTTTAGCAATGAACATTTATTTGTGTTCTGAATTATTGCTTCTAATAAGATGTTCTTTTTTTATAGTTTCGCTTTGGTAATAGTTTGTGTTTTGTAATTAAATAATGATAAATGACATTGTTACTGTCTTTTCTCTATCTTTTAACTGCCATTCTTGTTCATGTTTCTAATCATCACAAACTCAACTCATGTAATGAATGAGATGGGATCAATATGAACAACCTAATCTGATACATCTATGTTATCATGTCATTGAAGCTTTTCCCATAAATTGGCGTGAGAATATATGAATATCAATGCTTTTTTTTTTCTGAAACACTATGAATATCAATGCTTAAACAAATATATTTATGGAAAAAGAAATTTAAAAAAAAAACAAATAAATATTCATCAGCAGATGATTAAACTTAAAAACCCCTGTGTTTTGGCTTAACCTTTGAGTGAATATTTCTTCCCAGTAAACACTTTGAACTTGGCTTCATCAGATTTTGTCGAGCTCTCTTGCTCAACGTTCTTGGGATCAACCTATACATTAATAAGATATACAACACAATTAGTTTATCTCTAATGGATGACTAACTCGATCACATGAATGGAAAGAATCAAGAGGAGCAAGACATACTTTCACAGTTTCTTTTGAAGCTTGTTTGCTGTTTGAGCCAAAGACCAGCTTCCCTGATTTTTGCCGTGGCGTTGTGCTTGACAACTTCTCATCTTCTTTTCCATTCTCAGTTGGCTTCTCTTCTTGTTTTGCATCTTCTTGTTCAGTTGATTCTGTTTGTGTTTTCCCATCCAAACGCTTTCCGGATCCAGTGAATGGCGTGAACTTGGGAACTTTGCTTGCTGGTTCTTCTTCCTCAACTGCAATGGCCAAACAAAGAAGATAGAAAACACAACCAAGAAAGCTATATCCCACGAAAGAACGAGAATCTCCAAATAAGCTCAAAGAAATACCTTGGCGAGTTCGCTTCTTTGGAGGAGTCAGTTTTTGTGGCTTCTCAGGCTCTTTGTAATCAAGAGGAGGAGCAAAATCAACCTCACAGTCCGTTTCAATAATACTCACAGCTGAAGAAGGCTTCGCTTCAACCACATTGATAAAGTATTGCTTGTTGTTATAAGGAACCATAATTGTATCGCCAGTGGTCAAGCAAGAGTAGCTCCTAAGCGTAGTCTCCAAGCTGCATTTACAAAAAGGAACGTAAGAAAGTGAAGATTATTCAGAAAATTACCAAAACAAGATTCATTGAAAGGTACAAACATGGCTTTTGGGTTGGTAATGTCCAAGAAATCTTGAGTGTGAGGCTGAAGCTTGATGTAAGTCCCTTTCACCAAGCTCATATTCTTGATCCTCACAATGTCTCCCTCTTCAAGAGACATGTTTTGCATCATCTTCAAGACAAATGAAACAAAGATCAGATCAAGAAAACAGTGAAAGAGAAATCGAAAACAAAAGAATGATTCAAGTGTATTATATACCCAATAAGGAAAGTAAACAACGCCTTCGTCTGCAGTGAATTCGAGTACACCACAATGTGTGATCTTGCCAACAGATTCGTTACTCAGTTGGAACAGCATTGGGTACTCAATATGCAAAGAAGCTGAGTAAAAAAGATGGATTCAGAAACCATTGCTCAAGTAAAAAAAGACTTGAAACTGATAGTAGAAGATTGAAATTGGCTTTACCAAGACGGTTGAGAGCAGAAGGAGGCATTATAACTACAAAGATCACAGAAGTAATGTCAGAGAAACATCGTAAAAAAAAACTATCTAATAGAACAGAACAGAACAGAACAGCAACTTACTTTTGTCACCCTTGTCAAGATGTGCCTGCATTTAAAAAATTATCCGAAATTAGAATGTTTTTTTTTTTCCGTTGATCATAAAAACATGATATTTAAAATAAAAAAAAAATTGAACCTTTTCAATGAATGTGACAGGGTAACAACGGTAACACTGCTCAAAGCTAGACTCATCATCTCCAATAAACTCCTCATCTCCATCAAACTCCATTGCAACACAAATCTACAAAGTCAATAAAGAACAAACACTTTTATAGGGCAACCCATTGAGGCAAATCATCGAACACATGGTGGGCAAATCAAAAGAATCTTCTTTTCTTTATGATAAAACAACACTTTTAGTTTCCAAATTTAAACCCCAAAAAGATATGATCAAAGGCGATGATCATCATCTAAAACCTAAAACAAGTTCGATCCAACAAGTCTATGAATCTCTAGAAGATTAAACAAGAACTCAAAAAGATGATTGGGGACAATCTTAACGTTTACAACCAAACAGATCAAGTAAAGTTTGTTTACTTAAAACAACTTGATCAAACCGTACCAAAGTGAAATCAAATCGTTTTAGGGTTTTCTGGAGGTTGAAGAAGATCTTTGGATTCTTCTTCTGGAGGAGGAGTCAAAGGCAGGAGATCGGAGCTGAGATTTTGGAAAAGTTTGTTTTGATTCTTTTATAGGTTTTTAACACAAGGATGGATACAAAGAGAAGTTTACTACACATGGCGTATAATAATTGGTTTACTTGCAAACTTTTCGACTCAGGTAATTGGTTTAAATAAATTCCATTTTCAAAATTTAAATAAAAGGTAATATTATTGGATTTTACTTTTTAAAAATATACTCTTTCTTATTTATATTAGAAGTAAACTTCTTCCTAATTTTATGTAACTCATTTTTTAGACCTGTTGTTAATTTTTTTTTTGCCAAATAGTTATAAATTTATAGATATAAGAGAAAATAACTTTTAAATAAAAAACAAGGACTTGTTATATAGTATAAACTATGATTCCAAGAACAAAAAGAAATTATTTAAGATAAATTAGGATTTCATAAATTTTACATGATATTTATATAAAATATGATTTCATAAACAGAAATTCCGTATAGATAAATTCGGATATAAAACTTAAACTGTTGAGTGATTGAGATCATAGCGTACAGATAAACATATATGTTTTTCTTACTATTATCTACATAATATGATATTCATTAAGATGAACGATGAAAAAAAAATCTTTCTCAAAAAAAAAGAAAAAAAAGTCTCTAAAGCAGTGAATTCTTGCGATGCTAAATCAATCATAAACAAAATATCTAAAGCAGTGAAAGAGAAAACAAAATAATCTTACACCAAAAAATAAATTAAAATAATTTGTTTTGAAAATTGTATAGAGGATAATGACTCAGCCAGCTCAACTTTAACAAATTTTCTGCCAACCCCCGAGCCTAACCATCTTAACCGGACTGCCTACACGCCAATCATATACTGAAAGCTCTAGTTGCTAGTGAAAAAGAAAAAAGAAAAACTGGATCCTAATACTCTATTTTCATTCAATAAGCTAAAGTTAGAGACATATTAAGAATTGTCTACAAATACTTTATTTCCCAATTACACATCACAAAGTTTACAAGTAAAATAAGTTTGAACTTTGTAGATCAATTAATACTCGAGCACTCTCTCTTCCGGATAATGTTACAGATATATTGAAACCCCCCCCCCCCCTCCCCCCACTCAAGGAAATAATACTAAAAACTGTACAAAATATACAAATCCAAAGGTCAATGTGTGAACAAAGAGACAACAACAAACCTCACAGATAAATCAGTTTCTTGTGATGTAAGACATCATTCACTACACAGAAACCCAAAAAGAAGAAGCATAAACAAGTCTCCCTTTCCATCCTTGAAGGAACCAGTTACCATCTTGATCAACATCAAACTCTTTGCTCTTATAATCCTTTTCAACCATCAACCTCAGTTTCTGAACCAGCTCCTTCTCAACCGGAAGCTGTCTAAACCCAGCTCTCACCATCCTCGACTGCCACTGCTTATAACTCTCAGGCCTCTCCACTCTCGCCGTCCCCTCACACGCCACCACGTTCATGATCTCCCTCCCGTAAAACTCCTTCTCAAACACAACCCTCATCGGATCCTCCCTAGTCAAATTCGTGTCACACATGTCAAACAGAGAAGAGAAATGATACAGAACCTCTCTAAATCTCGTTACAAAGAAAGGCGCGTTGTATGAACCGCTTAAGATAGAAGGGATGAAGATGTTCGGTCTTATCTTCTGTATCAGTCTCAAAACCACATCTCTAGGACTATCCACTGCCACCGTCTCATCTAGAAGGTTCCTAAACCTAAAGAGAGAGTTCACAGCCACAAACTCTCCTTCTTGCAACTTCAAGTCCTCCAACTTTATCGTCTCCCATTTCTGCGCAATAGCATTATACTCAAATGGCACGTTAAGCTTCTTACAGTACTTAGCCAAGCGATGTCCTGTCTCAATAACTCCATTAGCTGGTCTAAACCCACGTTGAGGCAAGTCAATACCTGTTACCCTAAGCTTACAGGACGAGCCACGTCTCCAATGAAGGCGATGAATCAGAGAATGCCACTGGAAACCATAAGATATCCCAAAGTCTATGATGTGTATGGTGTTAGGCATTATCTTCTTAGCCATCTGCTGGATGCTGTGGTTAGCGAACACTATACCAATCTTCTTGAACGGACAGACGGATACATATGTCTGGTAAGCTTTCAACATGTCGGCAGCAGATGTTTTCTTGGAAGACAAGGCTGTGTAAACCTGTGTACCTGTCCCAGCTAAACGTGCTTCAAGACTGTTTGCGAAGTAATGAGCTAACCTCTCTGTTCCATCTCCATAAGATGAAGAATGTTGCCTAACCAGTTTTAACAATCCTTCAGCTCTTCTATGATCGTTAACGGATACGGCTTGTGCACATGAGAGCAAAAGGGTTCTCAAGTCAGGTATCTCTTTCACATAAGCAGGTAGTTTCTGTACCCTTGAATGTGTTGTTGTCTCGCCTTTGGGACTTGGTGAAGCTTTGGGAGGTCCCTTTTCTTGGAGAATGCATGTAGGGTTCTCCTCGGCTGGTCCAAATAAGAGAATCTTATCAAACATTTCAGATAGTTCGGTTTCATCTGCATAAACAGCTGATTGTTTCTTGCTTCTTTCTTCAGGCAAATGCTCATCTTCACGGTAATGACTTTTCTGTCCGATCATTCGGTAAGGAACATAGTTGTTATTATTATTATCCATGTCTATAACCAGCTGAGTAGTCTTTGGTAGGAACTTGCTTGCTTCCTCCACACCTCTCTTGAATTGGAAAGCCAAGTTGCTATCCTTGAACATGTTGGACACCAAGTCATCACTAAAACTTGACCTGAAAGCAGCGTTACTGCCTCTAACGGGCTTGGGGCTGGATCTAGAGGGAGTGGACTTGAAAACAAAGTTGTTCGGGGTCGGTGTTTGCATCCAAGAAGGCTTGTTGTTCTCCAAACAATCAAAACTCCAATCAGAGGAAGTGGTTCTTGAGGTATAACCTGAAGAAGTTATATCACTCAACCCATCAGGACTATGAGCCAGTTGAACAGGGCTAGTAGTAGTCAGAGGTGTGGAATCAGGGTACTTTTCGCCTAGAGCTTCATAGAGAGATCTCTCAGCTGCTTGGAGAGATAAGGCATCATGGAACATACAAGGCTTGTCATCCATGTCTTCTTCCATAAGCACTTGGCTTATGTATTGTAGAACAGAGTCAGTGAAATCATCATCAGCATCAGCATCAACAGTAGCAGCACAAGCATGATTCTGTTGAGTATATGACTCTGGAAGAGGAGGAAGAGGAGATGGACTTTCTAAAAAAGGTTGATTATCGAGATAGAACCCATTTCCCAAATTGGAAAAGTCAATCTTGTAATTGTAGTGGAAGTTGTCAAATGATCCAGCAGAGTAAGAACCCATCAGTAGTCTGAAGAACCCTAAAACTTGTTACACAAGAAAACGCAAATACTTAGTCTGCGAGAGAAAACTAGTTTTAAAGTTGAATCTTTACTTTTCTCAACCTGATCAAGATGATAACAGAGCGAAATAAAAACAGGTAACCTAAACAAAAAACTATGATGTTTATTACTCCCAAGGAGATAATAATTTTTTGTGTTTGGTGGTAAGAAACAAATCTTGCAAGCGTACCTGTTGAGATTAAGATGCGGCGATTCAGATTACTATGGAAGAAAGGTTTGTGTGAGGAAATGGTCTGTGTACGTGAGGATTTGTATTTTTTTATGTAATTATAAACTATAGAGAAAAACAAGTGGGTGAAAAGATACAATTCTTCAATGATTTTAATAAAGTAAATTTTATTTGTTTATGTTTAGTTGATGTGAATCACAAATCCACTAGGTTAGGAAACTTCACGAGTCATTTTTTCTTTAATTTGATTTCGTAGCAACAAAAAAATATTGGTACGTGGTGTGAACTCACTGTAATCACGAATATAATAATCGACAATTTTTGCGCCATCCAATTTTTTTGTAATTTAATGTGGAATATTCATCTTGTGACTTTCACATCAAACTAGGTGGACGGTCAGCACACATGTGCAGACATTAATATAATCTATACATTGCATAAATAAAAAATAATACAAATGTATAAATATATTGTAACTTTCTTTCTCTTTTACATAGATATTCTGTTTTTAATATATTTTTCTATCTTACTCATTTCGTTTTTCTCCTTGTATTTTTCACACATTCGTTTTGTTTCTTATGTATCTCTTTTTGTAATATTTTTGTATGTCTTTGTACACCTTTCTTGCTCTCTTTTTCTTTCTCGCTCTCTTTTTCTTTCTCTCTCTCTTAGTTGATCAAATAATTTCAAAATCTCTCAAACTTACATTCACTCTCTCACAATCACCTATATTTATTCTCTTACACTCGTCCTTAATATGATCCTCAATATTTCACTTTAAAACTCTTTCTATCTCTTTTTGGTTGTAAAATTTTCACCAGATTTTGTTAAATCTTCAAAACACTTTCACATAGTATTAATAAATGATTTCAGAATCTATCTCACTTATATTAAGTCTCTCACTTATATTCACTTTCATCTTCATTATGATCATAACCGACTCTCTAATCCTTATCATCACCATATCTCCCTTTCTTTCTCCCTTTCTTACATATTTTTTTATTTAGAATTTAATATAAAATCACAATTGGCTAACCAAAAAAAATCATTATCAAATTCTCTCCAATCTTCACATTATCTTATCAAACATTGATTCCTTTGACCAAGATTTTCATTGAAAAAATAAATATCTTATTATTAATTTTGTTTTTTTAATTACTTCATTACTTACATATTTTAAGTAAATCTAAATAACTGTATTTCAAAAAAACAAATTTTATTAAATAATTATATAACATAAAATATCTTAATTCTTAAATGATGTTATGAAATTATTTTAGACAGAGATTGATATAAACGTGAGATTCAACACTTTTAATATATCAAACTAACATGTTTCTAGTTGTATAAATTTTGTTATAACTTTGTTATCATATATTTTAAATGTTTATTTACACCGCAAAAAATACTTATCCTTATTTTAAAATAATTTATTTTAAATTTTTATTTGCGTTATATTTTGCATCTTCAACATTAACAATTTTGTAACTTGTCATTTATATTTATCTTCCTTACTCAATTTTTATTTATGTTGTATAAACACCTAAAAATAATTAGTTTACAATTATATTAATACGTAAAAAATATTTTGGTATACAAATAAAAAATTATGTATGTACAAATACAAAATAACGAAGAATACAACAAAATGTTTTATTATTATTCACTCATGTTTTTATTTATGTGTCTTTTGTTTTTTTCTTTTTAAAAATAAACATGCCAATTTTATTATACTTAAAGCTATATGAATTATATGAATAGAATATTAACTCTAGTCTTGTATTAATATAATGTTTTGTTTTTTTGTAATTTTATATTATAATAAATTTTTTCATTTATTCATATTTTTAAAATGACATACCATATAATTTCTGTTTTAAATATAAAAATACTTAAATAATTTTTGAAAGTGATAACTCAATTATACTATCGACATTTATCTCTGGAAAATGATAGAATATTTTTAAAATTTTACATTTGACTGTTTGCATTCATTGAACATATTTTAAGAATACATATATATAGTGAGTGAGTATAAAAATACTATTAGTTTTCTGTAGTGTATAATTTTTTATCCACTATTAATAGAAAAAAAGTTTAAAATCGTTTATATACTTATTTCTATAATATAATATGTCTTTATATGTATATGCTAATTTTTTATAATGGAATATGTGATATTTAATTGTTTCTATAAACAAATTATATTAATCCTATGTATTTAAGATGATTAGTTGTTTGTTTGGTAATATATATTAGATTAGGTAATTCTAGGATTAGTTTCCTTTTAAAAAACTTTAATTAAATAAATAAATTCAAAATCCAACAACCAATCAAATTAAGAGAATTAATTCTACATTGCACCTATGAATGACACGTAAGCAAAATTCATTAAAGTGACTTCTCTTTTAATATATAGGTTTATTATTATTCACTCATGTTTTTATTTATGTGTCTTTTGTTTTTTTCTTATTAAAAATAAACATGCCAATTTTATTATATTTAAAGCTATATGAATTATATGAATAGAATATTAATTGTAGTCTTGTATTAATATAATGTTTTGATTTTTTGTAATTTTATATTATAATAAATTTTTTCATTTATTCATATTTTTAAAATGACATACCATATAATTTCTGTTTTAAAATATAAAAATACTTAAATAATTTTTGAAAGTGATAACTCAATTATACTATCGACATTTATCTCTGGAAAATGATAGAATATTTTTAAAATTTTACATTTGACTGTTTGCATTCATTGAACATATTTTAAGAATACATATATATATATAGTGAGTGAGTATAAAAATACTATTAGTTTTCTGTAGTGTATAATTTTTTATCCACTATTAATAGAAAAAAAAGTTTAAAATCGTTTATATACTTATTTCTATAATATAATATGTCTTTATATGTATATGCTAAATTTTTATAATGGAATATGTGATATTTAATTGTTTCTATAAACAAATTATATTAATCCTATGTATTTAAGATGATTAATTGTTTGTTTGGTAATATATATTAGATTAGGTAATTCTAGGATTAGTTTCCTTTTAAAAAACTTTAATTAAATAAATAAATTCAAAATCCAACAACCAATCAAATTAAGAGAATTAATTCTACATTGCACCTATGAATGACACGTAAGCAAAATTCATTAAAGTGACTTCTCTTTTAATATATAGGTTTATTATTATTCACTCATGTTTTTATTTATGTGTCTTTTGTTTTTTTCTTATTAAAAATAAACATGCCAATTTTATTATATTTAAAGCTATATGAATTATATGAATAGAATATTAATTGTAGTCTTGTATTAATATAATGTTTTGATTTTTTGTAATTTTATATTATAATAAATTTTTTCATTTATTCATATTTTTAAAATGACATACCATATAATTTCTGTTTTAAAATATAAAAATACTTAAATAAATTTTGAAAGTGATAACTCAATTATACTATCGACATTTATCTCTGGAAAATGATAGAATATTTTTAAAATTTTACATTTGACTGTTTGCATTCATTGAACATATTTTAAGAATACATATATATATATAGTGAGTGAGTATAAAAATACTATTAGTTTTCTGTAGTGTATAATTTTTTATCCACTATTAATAGAAAAAAAAGTTTAAAATCGTTTATATACTTATTTCTATAATATAATATGTCTTTATATGTATATGCTAAATTTTTATAATGGAATATGTGATATTTAATTGTTTCTATAAACAAATTATATTAATCATATGTATTTAAGATGATTAATTGTTTGTTTGGTAATATATATTAGATTAGGTAATTCTAGGATTAGTTTCCTTTTAAAAAACTTTAATTAAATAAAGAAATTCAAAATCCAACAACCAATCAAATTAAGAGAATTAATTCTACATTGCACCTATGAATGACACGTAAGCAAAATTCATTAAAATGACTTTTCTTTTAATATATAGGGGGATTATAACTCCGCTACAAAGCTACTATTATAAAATTTTATTCAAATTACGATGAGTGAACAATATTAGAATCCATCTCTTAAACAAATCTGAAAGATCTAAGACAGCCTTTCGACAGGCCGACATCATTGTTTCGGTCCAAATCAGGATTAGTCTCTTCCACCGGTATACCTCCAACCTTCCCAGTACTCTTGAACGGTTTTGTCCAACCTTTTTCTTAGGTCCATCTAATTTCTACACTTAAAAGCATATTCTAACATTTTAGAAGGAACCGAATTTTCTTCTAATAATATTGAACAAATCCAAGCAGTGTTTGGATTTTTTTTGATGTAATATTTTTGGTCTATGTCAGCTGCATTTTTTAACGTACGCATTCTCTTAAAGCTGCTAACTCCATGATCATGTGAAATCTTACTACTATGTGCTTTGATTCTTGGCTAGACAAGATGCAATCTGATCAAAGTGGTATTCAGTTGCTTTGTATAATGATCAATGCCTAACTATAAAGTCAGTGAACCCAAAATGCTTTTTGGCTACCTCTCCCATTGCTATATATTTAGTTTTTGTAGTCGACATTGCAACAACATATTTTCCTATAGATCTTTAACAAATAGGTTCTCATGCAAAAATAAAAAACTTATCATGTAGTAGACTTCTTGTTGTCTAGATTTTTGAACCAACAAAAAGATCTCTTGCATAAAATGGATCATTGCTAATTGTATTGTACTATATCCGGATCGGACCCTGCTGACAGATTCTATCTCCATGTGGGAAGTACCACTTGTTTCACAAATACAAAATCCCCATAATCAGAGCGATTATCTTCTGCACTTTTCTCCTTTAAGGAGATATCACTTTCACCAATTTTTGGAGAGATTAATTTCATAATTCACCTTCTTTACAGAGACACCTATTTGATCAATGCATTTTTTTTAAGGTGAGTGTTTCTAAAATGCAAACCTTAAAAGCATTAAGAACCCGAGTAAATGTTGCTTTGGTTTAAATATTAGTTTTTATTTGTAAAAAAAACATACGAAAAAAACTCCCTTGCTTGTAATGACAAAAGAACTAGTTGTACTTTCATACTTCAAACAGAATGGAGAGTTGACGATGGACTTAACAACTTTAATTCAGTCATTTTTGAAACCTTTGAGAGGAATTTTTCGATTATTATCAATGACTTCAACATTTTATCTTAACTTCATCTTGTTCTGTATTTAAGTTATATCAGAGTTGTATGTTAGCAAAGAGTTTTCGGCTCCCGTGGCATAAACCACATAAGTGGCTGGTTGATTAGAGTAGATGAATTTTCTAAGAGAAATCATTATATGTTTGCATTATTATTATTATTTATTTATGAAACTATATGTTTTCGGTTGTTTTGGCCGGCCCTGGTTGTATGCATATTGAAATTAATATATTTCCTAAAAAATATTTTTCCTTGATTTTGTTTCAAATATGACAGTGACATCAATTTGACATATATCTTATATTTTCAGCTATTGTTTAAGTTACAGTTTTAATTAGTTTTAAAGATTTAAAGATTTTGGGAAGATACTTTAGGTAGAATTCGACGGGAATTATCTTTACAAATCTAAACATAGAATTTAGTCCTTTGAAAAAAACTATTCTAGATGTATAGTTGGAATTTCAACAATCGTTTTTATAATTCTGAAATTGGGTTTTTAGTATTTCATTATCACCCACAAAGCTATCAATTATTTGTCTTCAGTTCTTATTCGATCTACATATTTAGAATTTTGGTATGATGAAAATGTTTTTGTCAACACGTTCCAAAGATATTTATTTACAAGACCCGGGATGATCAATTCAAATCTAGTTGTAATCCTTTATAAAACAAAACAATAGTTTACTCAGGATTATTTCTTGCTTGTTAAATAATATTTGTTTGGTAAAGTCAGATGGTGGTGAGATTATCATATTCGCACTAACCATGTAGGACACTAAAAATATGACTAGAAACTTCTTATTTTTTGTCATAAATATGACTAGAAACTTTAACTAATAATTTCAACCTTTACGTCCCACTCAGATATGATAATTATTTTATTTTTTTGTGACTTAAGATGCGATAATTGTTTAGACGAAAATAGCATATAGTCAATTTATTATTGATTAGTGATTCAAAGTGAAAACGGAAACTTATCATCGGACAAAGGCAAAACATAATTTATCAAGTTTATCTTCTGCCTTCAAGAGGGATGTTTTCAAACTAAATCATATGTCATCAAGCTTGTGTATTATGTGGGAAGAAAGATGTGATCATTTATTTCTCGTTTGTCCATATTCCTATACAGTGTGGGACAGGGTTGCGAGAAGATTAGTTGGGCAGAGAATCAATCATGATTGGCCTGATAAGCTGGATATTATCCTTCACACGGGTACATTAAACTTAGTGGACAGTGTTCTCACTTGTTTGGTGTTTCATCATATTTGTAAAGAGCCTAATGTAGGAAGGCATCATCAAGCATATCAAGGGACATAGCAATATAAATTTGAATTTCCCTAATTAACAAAGTCATATCTACAACAGAATCTCTTCTCTAGAACACAAATTCAATGGCCTTACGCGTCGTTGGTTAGAGATGATCGGTCTAGTTGCAATTATTTTTCATATCATAGAAGCACTACAACCTCATTCCTTAAATTTGTTAATCCTTTTGTAAATTATTTCTTTTTAATTGATAAAATTTTAGAAGATGTCGTCATTTACTTAACCTGCTTTACAATTTAATATCTTTAGGGATGCCATTTGACCACTTACTTACTACGTGTGTCCACCACTCGAAACCCAACTCATCTCCACACGCCAAAAGGAATTAAACCACAAAGTTAAGTGCATGATTCGTTGGGTTGTTAAACCTTCTGTGCTTTTTTACAACACTTTGACAGCATTTGTCTATAAATCAATTTTTAAATTTTAGTAGGTTCAGTACAAAAACTTACAACTTTAAAGCTTTATTTGTCATATTTCATTTTATTTTTCTAAGGCAACAAGAAACCGTGTGATTTTCTCTTACCTCGAAAATAGCTAACAGCTACAAGAGGAAAATGTATTGACCAAATTCTACAACAATTAGTTTACAATGACAATTCAACCTATCGTACACTAAAAGGTTACAGGCTTACAGCTATAAATGAAAAACACTTGTCGAGATTGATGAAAAACGGAGGTTGAGATGGTACTCGGTTTTAGGGGCTCAATGATATGATTGGCTCGAGAAAGGAAGATGAGGTTACCAAAAGAAAGATAATAAAATGGTAATGGAGTAAGTTTAGTGTTGTGCCTATGTTTTTAGTGCTCTAAACACAATTATTAGATGCAAAAAACTAGTTTAATAAAAGGAAACAACATCTAGAGATTGTGCTAGATCTAAATCATCTTTAATACAAAATGTTATTTTAAAAATATGAATTTTCTAAAGGCTAACTCTAGATCTAGAAGAGTATATAGCTCTAACACCCGGAATTTCCAATGTTATAAGACATTTAGACAATGCATTTGAAGCTGCATCTAAATGCGGGAAGCTCGAAATTACTAATATCGGTTTAGAATTTAGGAGTATTGGGCTAGGTTCAAGAACCGCGGTTTAAGGACACGGTTTAGAGTTAACCGTCTAATGTTTTTGAGCCAGAAGATAGAGAGAGGGACATGTATCAAGTAAATGCATTGCAGTATAGATATGAGAGTCGTAAAGTGATGTAGCTACTACGGGAAGTGGTTAAAAATGTATATTTCAATCGAAAAAAAAAACAAAGTTAATGACCAGATATACAAATGGAGTTTATCCTCAGTTTGATTCTAATAATCTGAATGTTGACTTACATATGCAATGAAACAAGAAGTGGAACCAGACAACAATTACAAGTGCATATGATCAAATCAAATTAAGTAAACAATATTTGTCCGTTTCCAAGATATTCCTACTTTCTACAAAGATATAGCAATTAGATGTTTAGTAGTATCAACTGCATAATTGAGAACACAACAGCTGAATCTGAGACTGGTTATCGTTACCAAGCTTATACATCTCTGTTCTCCCATTCGCGACACACGTCAAGTTCATCTGCTTCCCAATTTGGCTCGACTGCTCCAACTCCACAATCATCCTTAGCTTTATTAACTTAAAAAGTACAAAAAAAAATATATCAAAAAACATGAAAAGTTTTTACCTGGCAGTACACATTTTGAGAGTTACAGTTCCATAACGACGTAGGCATACAAGTGAGATAATGACACCAAGAACAATGTTTGTTCAAATCCGTCCCTCGAAGAAGCAGTACGAGTCCAACAGTATATCCTGCTACCAAAAACAGTAAAGAAGTGATCCAAAGAACGTATTGGTACGGCTTGTGCTTGGACTTAGCACAAGGCGCAGCAGCATAGCCACGAGGATTGTTCCTGTGGTTAAAGTATCCATACTGAGGACGGATCAAGAACACAAATCCTAGAAGAAACCCGGAAAAGAATCCTCCGAGATGTGCAAAGTTGTTGTCTACATGTGGAAGTATACCTACTGCTAGATTAATAGCTATGATGAAAACGAGTTTCAAAAGAGCTGCAAACTGCAAATAGAGAAAAACTGATTAATATTTTTAGACAAGTTTTGATCTCTTTTGATAATCTTTTTTCACCTTATTAGCGTATATAGTCCAGTTTGTTAAAAGCTCTGAAAGCATAGCACCAAGCAAACCGAATAACGCACCAGAGGCACCAACGGAGATACCGTCCCCGTTAAAGAGAGATGATAACAAACTTCCACCAAATCCAGAGATCATATAGAGCAATCCAATGCGTACTGTCCAAGAATCAAAAGAGGATGAGCTTTGAAGGATGAAGGTAAAAGGCAAAGATCCATACCGAATCCAAATTCTTGCTCGAGACGAATGCCGATGAAGATAAGACTCAACATGTTGGCAAGGACGTGAAAAACACCAGCATGTAGCCATATACAAGTGAACAAGCGCCACACCTGGTGCTTTTGAACCACCATTAATTGTTACATCTAATGCCCCCATCTTCTCCAATCTAGCATGAAATAAATAACACACAATGTAAGTCACACTCTTTTAACTCAAAACCAATACTCATTACATTACTAAGCAAGTATCAAACACCATAAAGAGATAGCAATTTAAAAAAAAAAAAAGGTTTTCAAATTTTATTTTAACAAATTAATAAAAATAGGTTTGCAAATTTATAAAAAAAAAATAATAAAAATAGATTTTCAAATTTATTAAACAAAAAACAATTTTTTGTTAAATTTTTTATTAAATCGCCTAAAATACCCAAAATCTCAGGGCAATTGTTGATGAACATCGAGACGAGAAAGAGAGCAATGTTAGCCACTACTATAGCTGGAACAAGCCACGGAAACCAAAGCTTGAACGGCCGAAACTCAGCGAAAGAAGTTCGTTGTTGCCTCTGACGACCATTCGCCGGAGAAGTTTGTGCGGCGGAGGGATTGTTTGTCGGCGGATCAACCACCTTGATCTCTAGAGCCATTTCGAAAGACTCGTAGAATGAAAGGATGGAGCTTTTTCACGACATTGTTTCAGAAGGTGGAGAAGATGAATCAATCAGTCTTTCCTTTTTTTGAGCATTCCTCGTTAAGAAGCTAATTTAGTAACTTATTTATTTCATTATATATAGTTTTCTTCTTTTGTTTATCTTTAGATTAAGTCACATTTAAGAGTTAGAAGATTCGAATGCAAACATTTGGTTGATTAATCACATGATGAGATCAACTATATATTAAATCTAATATTAATATATGGCTGTATTATATAGTAGAGTTGAAAATAGAAATTATTCCTTTCCGTGTGTCTTGTAAATCCAGAAAATATGTTCCTTACTTTCAAATGCAAATGATAATTTGAGTTGGCTTCTACAATCGTCAAACACGTTAAAATAATTGTGAACAATTTAATTCATATGATTATGAAAGAAAAGATCTTCAAACCATAGAGATCTTATTGTGTTACGAGAGTTTGTTGTCAAAGATGGATTACATTATGTCGACTCGGCATCATTTGGCACCATCGGCTTAACACTCGTCATGGGCTTTGACAGCTTGACTTGACTCTCGGCATCATATCAATAACCCACAGTTGCTCGGTCCGTAAATCATTCTACAGTCTACACAGTTGCTCGGTCCGTAATAAAGGAACTGGATATTGATCCGCGCGGATTGAAAAATCCATAAGTTATTTAATAAAGATAACATAGAAAATGAAGAGAAAATGACTAAAATAGACCTTAAAAAGTTTTTATCACAAATATAAACCTTAATAATTAAAATGACAAAAATAGACTTTAAAAAGTTTTTATTTTGGTCATTTTAATTTTTGAGGTTTATTTTTGTGATAGAAACTTAAAAGAGGGCTATTTGAGAGATTTGCCCTAAAATGAATACTAATTGTTGTGTATTATATAATAATTTTACGTTGTATAAAATTGATGGTTCAAGTTAAAGAACTTCGTAAGAATAATATTGATTATCGTAAAGTAAACTTAGCAGAATAGCTTAATCTTCTTATAGATTGCTATGCTATGTCCTTTCGAGTATTTAAAGATTTTTTTTCTTATTGACAATCCACAGTAAATATATATACTGTAACGATTTATGAGAAAGTTTGCTTATTTCGGCGAATAAATATATACGGTAGAATCAATCAAAGCGATGAACTTACAGAATAAATATATTCTGCATTATATTTCAAAAAGGAAATTTAAGCTAAGGCATATTTACATAAAGTTGAGTCGTAGTATATATATTTGCTAGAATCAATCAAAGCGATGAACTTGTTAACCAAGAACTGCCATTATTATTATAATACTTTTCTTTTAATATATTAGGAATTGTAATATATAGAGAATTAGAATCTAGGACTAACCAAATTATTAGAAGCGGAACATATCCTAAAAAATATATAAGATATGCCGAACATCGTGAATATTTGAATCTACAGGTTCTACCGCAAAACCTAAGCTTAATGCTTTTCCAATCAGTTACAGTATGGAAGCCCAGAATCTAACATTTTGGGGAAACCCACATTAAAAAGTTATGTCTCTAGTACAGCTCAAATAATACCATCCCATGTCGGAATCAATGGCAGCTACGGTGCAGAGAACTATACACTTCTCCACCTACATAATCAATGTGAAGTACATTATACGTTAATAATACATGAGAGTAATAAGACAAAAGATAGAAATCATTATACCTGTCTTGATTCAAACATCTCAGAAATGGGCGTGTGCACAAACTAATCATCCTTTTCTGAAACCCCCATTAACCCTAGCTAGAGGCTTTGAGTAGGAAATAGATAATGCTAGCTCATCTTTTAGTAACCTTTTGAAAGATTAAACATAAATTCCTCAGCGCTTCAAGACAAAGCTTAAGATATAATGATTAACTGAATGTAATATATTATTCAAAAAACTTACAGTGCTACAAAAAGCTTCAACCTCAGGCATGTTCGGATTAAGTGCAACATCTGACACATTATAAGCATTGCTGATGCTACGCTCTTTTACGAAATTACATACAAAACATAATTAGGTACAGTTAAAAATAAATTTCGATTATAGACAGATGAGAGATTAATTACCTTTCCAAAATTTAATCTTGCCAAACCTCAACACACATATCACTGAGCATTCTCCACGAACTTGAATAGCGTCAGCAACATCCGAAGAAAATTTTTCCCACAAAACCAGTGGGAGACGGTCGTTCCTAATTCACATAGGAGGGATTAGTCTATAGAAAACATATTAACCTAGCTGTAACTGAATATAACTCATGCTAATATAGGAGGTCTTACTCAGTGTTGCGAAGTTCTATGGTAATCTTATTAGTGTCTTTTCCATTGATGGAAACAATCTCAAGATGTGTCACTTCCACAATTTGGCCTATGACATCTGTCAGACTAAAGATCAAAATATCAGATGTGATTTAAAAAAGTTTAGATAAGATGAATGATACTAACCAACCAAATAGTCTGGACTGAGATTTCCATCTAGTAGCGACCGGTAATTGACTGTTTGAAAACCAGTTAACGCTCTTGGTAAATCCTCACAGTTTCTCACATGGGTTGTTGAGAGGAAGCTTATCCTGTAAAGATGATTGGTTGATCGAAATGAACCACATGAGTGGTTCAAAGATAAGTTGATAAGATTTTTGAACCGCCTTCAATTAAGAAGTGATCAAACTGGTTCACCAATTTCTTTTCACAGTGGCGAATCTTATCACCCTATCAAAAAAGCGCATAAAAATTTAGATATGAAATATGCAAATGTAAAATAAAGTTATATAGGGTATGACAGGTAGTGTATTAACGATACTCACATTAGCATCGATGAGTACCATCTCAATGGTCAGACCACCGGTGGCTGAGTACTGCCTCCAAATACGGATTATCTTCAATCTGATCCTCTACATGGATTTGAAAGGTTTAAGATCAGAAACTGTGTTCATTGCCGCAATTGTAAACAAAACATAGAAGGGTTGCTAGTTTATTAGGGTTTGTATATTGAACTCAACATAGGAAAAGCCCTTATAATATTTCCAATATCATGGTTGGCCGTATTAGCTGTATGATATCAATTGGGTATTGTACATTTATTTATAATCTGTCAATAACTAAGAATATTAATTATAGACTTTGTCTGCAAGTTTTCATTAAAGAATCCGAATTAACTTTATACGCAAGAGATGTATTGCTTTAAACAACCAAACTCAAGATAATGGGCCTCGTGACATGGAGTTCGGGTAACAGAGTTTTGATCATTTAAATTTTAAAATTTTAAATTTTAAAACTTTTAGTATAATAGGTAACAGAGTTTTGATCAATGGGCCTCGTGGAATCTATATTTTCTGAAGTTCGTTGAATATGTAAAAGTCCATCAATGCTTTTACGGGCAATTAAGTTTAGTGATTACCGAATTAAATACCAAATTAAATGTCAATTCATTCTCGTGTTGACACATCAGCAATTTTATGAGAATCACTGTGGGAACGACACGTAAGCAAAGCTCATTCTTAATGCTTCTCAAATAATATATAGAGGATATTTTTAAATAAAATTTAATCGAATTATTCATTAGTTATAAAATCTCTCAGCAACATATTTATTCATTAATTAAGCAAATGGATAACAATTCACACAAAAAAATCAAGATATCACGTCTACTTATAAAAATAATACTGAATCATGGCCCGCGCACCCGCACGGATTTTATTTTTCTGATGTATTCTATATAATTTAGTTTTATATAGTTTTGAGTTTATCCAAATGGATTTATGTTTAAAGAACAACATCAAAACTATCTTTTGTATTAATAGCATCAAGCATTATATTATGTAGATATAACCGTGCAGTGAAAACACGAACTATGTACGTTTGTTCGAAGTGCAAAATCAAATTCAAACTTAATTTTTTGCCTGAAAAACATAAGATGAGAGTTTAGTTACTTCTGATGTTAATAATTATCCAAAATTTTAAAATAATATACAAATTTCTAAAATTTTAGCCTAAACATTTATTTTATAGGTTAGCTCAAATGCACACTTAACTTTCGTCTTAACTTTGCAAGCGTGGAATATTTTATGATGAAAAATTTCATAAATAACGTAGCAAATATTTGGGCAATTTGAAAGAATTTATTTATTTAAAATATTTTGTATTTAAATCAGTATTTTTAAATTCAAACAGAACCATGGTTAAATCGGTGATCTAATAATTCAATTTTGATTTTTAAAAATATCCATATTTAAAAAATCACTAAAACCTAAGACTACCGATATAACTGATAGATAGCTGATATGTAATATTTAAACCTCTAAAATAAGTTTAGCTTCGTCGTTTTATATATTATTTGTATTTTTAATTTATCTTAATAATCGCAAAAACAATTGTGAGAAATTATTAAAAAGGGTGAGGTTTAATATTATTTATCTTTGGACATAAGAATAATTATAGTGTTGTTTGGAAACATGAATATTAGTATAAAGATATATTGTTTGGAAACATGGATAGTAGTATAAAGAAATAAATATATTGTTTGGAAACATGGATAATAGTATAAAGAAAGAAATATTAGTGATTTAATGTAGTTTTAACTATAAAGTAGAAAGATGTATTTAATTTAAAAATTTAAAAAATAAATGTTAGATCCAACCTAATATTTCTGATTTAAAAGATAGATATTGTTATTAATAGAAAATGGGTCCTATATTCGTTTTCTTAAGCAAAACTTTTGTTACTGGTGTATAATCATTACATATGCTATGACTAATAACATCATCAAACTAAATTTATATCTACGCAAATCATAGTCACTTTATCTTACTAAAATATGCTTTTTAAAAATTGAAACAAATATTTTAACAGAATAAATTTTTCTTTTGCACGTCTAGTAATTAGTTATAGTTACACTATATGTGCATAGATGTTATATATTATTTGTATTTGTATTATATTCCATTTTACTCAATTAGCTGA